CAAGTGTTTGCCATTGAGCCCAGTTCTGATGGCAAGTGTTTGCCATTGAGCCCAGTTCTGATGGCAAGTGTTTGCCCTTGAGCCCAGTTCTGATGGCAGAGCAGCATTGTAAAGTGCTACACATGCGGCCTCAAGACATCGACCCCATTTGTCACCATTGACTTGACCATCGTAGTGGACGCCGCACTGGCTTTTTTAGAATGAATTGCTGGTGTAATGCGTGAAGTGCCCAGTTGATCTCATCATACATTGCAGTATGCATGCAGTTGATCTCATCATACATTGCAGTATGCATGCAGTTGATCTCATCATACATTGCAATGATTGCAGTATGCATGCAGTTGATCTCATCATACATTGTAGTATGCATGCAGTTGATCTCTTCATACATTGCAGTATGTATGCAGTTGATCTCATCATACATTGCAGTATGCATGCAGTTGATCTCATCATACATTGTAGTATGCATGCAGTTGATCTCATCATACATTGTAGTATGCATGCAGTTGATCTCATCATACATTGTAGTATGCATGCAGTTGATCTCATCATACATTGTAGTATGCATGCAGCTGATCGCACCATACATTGCAGTATGCATGCAGTTGATCTCACCATACATTGTAGTATGCATGCAGTTGATCTCACCATACATTGCAGTATGCATGCAGTTGATCTCACCACACATTGTAGTATGCATGCAGTTTATCTCATCATACATTGCAGTATGCATGCAGTTGATCTCACCATACATTGTAGTATGCATGCAGTTGATCTCACCATACATTGTAGTGTGCATGCAGTTGATCTCACCATACATTGTAGTATGCATGCAGTTGATCTCACCATAGTATGATACAGTGTAGTATGCATACAGGGGTGTTGGCTGCACACACTGTGTAGTGTACCCACAGCAGTCTTGTCAGTCAGCCATCAGTACTGCACTCTGCATGGGCATGTACGTCATGCAATGCTCATGCAGCAGTGGCACCACCAAGTCACTTTCTAGCTGACAGGTAACTCAGCAGTGGCACCACCAAGTCACTTTCTAGCTGACAGGTAACTCAGCAGTGGCACCACCAAGTCACTTTCTAGCTGACAGGTAACTCAGCAGTGGCACCACCAAGTCACTTTCTAGCTGACAGGTAACTCAGCAGTGGCACCACCAAGTCACTTTCTAGCTGACAGGTAACTCAGCAGTGGCACCACCAAGTCACTTTCTAGCTGACAGGTAACTCAGCAGTGGCACCACCAAGTCACTTTCTAGCTGACAGGTAACTCAGAGTTTCCTGTTTTAAAGCACTCATCAGACAACAGAACCAAGGCAACCATTCACAGCCGCCTTCTTGACACTCTTATTGAATAACAACAAATAATCTGTCCTCAGGTGGCAGGTGTGTTTGGTATACGTGGGACGTACGTGGGAGAGGTATCAGAAGGGCATATCGTTCAGGCTTATTAAGTACCCCCGACGACACATACAAACGGAGGGTCTGAGAAAGGGGGCAGAGGTGATGGAGGCCCCGCGTTGTGCTCTGTCTGTCCATTGGACATAGAGCAGAAGACACAGTAGACAGCTGTGCATCTCCATCTTGTTTATATAATTATAGATCTTGTTTATAATAAAGGGTTCTTCTTGACAACACAACAGTTTTAGCCTCTGATCGCTGGAACTCAGTTCTGGCATCGGTGCGCCTTGCTGCTTCACCAAGTCAATTTCGTATCGCAATCCTAGACTGGCTAGGGTACCCCGCAAGGAGACCATAGGTGTGCGGGGACTGCCCTAGAGAAATATGAATACACACATGTATGTGTAATTGTGTAATTGTGTATATTGGTTATATTGGTTATGTGGTATATGTACTCCGGTCTGTTCTTGTCCAGATGCGTTTGTCCCTCCCTTGTCTAGCGGCAATGCTGGCCATCGCTTGTGCTCTGGCAGCCGTTCAAAAGGTATCAGCTTTAGAAAGTACTTCCGGTCCTCATCGACATGCAGCACTTCAAAAGGTGTACGCTATGATCTTTAAGATTGAACACCCTCAAGAGACATATACCAAGCTGTTTGGGTACCTGCTGAAGAATGGAACTTGCGCCGACCGAAAGGCTGCCATCCCAGCAGTAGAGGTGCCACATATTTGCCAGGAACGCGATGAACATGGTAAGCTGAGTATGTAGCTAGCTATGTAGGTCTGGTCCAGTGGCCTAGACTAGCTGTGTAGGTCTGGTCCAGTGGCCTAGACTAGCTGTGTAGGTCTGGTCCAGTGGCCTAGACTAGCTGTGTAGGTCTGGTCCAGTGGCCTAGACTGTTTGCAATCTTAGTGCAGTTTGTATTTGTGCTGGCAGTAGTGCTGCGATTCTAGAAGGGGAGTACACGCTAAGATTAACTTTGACTGCGCATAGTCGTCTACAAGCTGCCTTTGCGACCTCTGCAGTTTTGCAAGACAACAATAGAATATCATCAACTCAGTCACATTTAAAAGTCTTGTAGAACCATTGTCGTGTTTGACTTACAACAACACTACAGTGCTGCCATTGGAAATTGACACCCTAATTTATTTCACATCTTAGTGTCGTGTTGTCCGGAGTATAAGCCACACTTTACACACTCATCCACCCAAAAAAGGGAAAAAAGGTCGATGTGGCTCATACTACACAGGTCAAATGAACCGTGGAATACAGGCTGGGTGTCTGTATTTCGTGGCAAAAAAATCTGGGTGTGACTTACACTCCAGTGCGGCGGCTTATGGTCCGGAACATACAGCATAGGCTTACACTCCAGTGCGGCCTATGTTCCGGAAAATACAACATATGCAATAAAATCCTGGTGAAATCCTGACAATTGGAATATGGCTTGATTCCAACATACCCGGCCTACTGCTCAAGTAGAAGTATCTCCCAGGACCTATTTCTATCATACCCACACAGTACTACACAGAAGTAACTATTAGTTTGAGGGAGTTAAAAAATGGAAAAGCCCGAGAAAAATTGACCGTCACCACCAGCACTGGAACCATGGACCGTCGCTTATGGCCAGCCATTCTCTACCACCAGCACTGGAAGCATGGAGCATGGCTTATGGCGTGCAGCCATTCTCTACCACTAATCTATAGTGTAGCTGTCATCCCAGCAACGACTGTTCAACGTTTTCTTCAGACTTCGAAACTCGCACTCCCTGTATATCCACACAGCCTGATGGGATGCATCTCTCACTGCAACCATGGTAACCCACACACTGTAACCCACCCACTGTAACCATGGTAACCCACACACTGCATCCCTCACTGTAACCCACACACTGCATCCCTCACTGTAACCCACACACTGCATCCCTCACTGTAACCCACACACTGCAAGTGCAAACTAGCATGTGTGTGTGGGGGGGGGGGGGGGGGGCAGTACGCACCGTATGTCCGCACCTTTAAAGCCATGGCGGTATATTCGATTATAAAGCCAATCTCAGTTATAAAGCCATGGGCTTCATAAATGAAATGACATTTGAAGTATGTTTTGTAAAATGAAGGAATATGCATTATACTAACAAACTTACAGGCCAGCAGGGTGAAGGGTGAACAAGTGGATTTAGATTGAAATTTCTGTGTGGACTTTGACTTTTATGGCATGGCGCAGTGGTTGAGTCATTTTGCATCTAAAATAGCTAGGAAAGTAGCGGTGTTTCGATTCTAAGGCCGTGGCGCTGACACACGGTAAATATTCATAAATTTGAGGGAGTTGTTAGGGGCCGTCCAAGGTTACCAATAATATTTTCAAAACGAAATGTTTTCGTTTGTGGGTGGGTGGGTTTGATGGAGTTTCGTTTTGAAAATAATTCTTGAATGCTGATGGAGAATGCCCAGTTACTTCTGGGTGTCGAAAATTGACATCAATAGTTTATTGGAATTCGTTTTACCTGCAGAAAAGGTGGGTGGGTGGGTGGGGGCTGAAAAATACTAAAACATTTCGTTTTGTAAAAACAATCGGTAACCCCGGACAGCCCCTTACCAGAAATAGTTGTTACGAAGTATATAACTGCTCGTTTGTGGGTTGCATGGTGTCATTGTTGCAACCGTGCCTGAGAATGACAATACTGCTGAAACATTGTACGCTAAGAATTGGTTCAGCTCTTCGCAGTGCTTTGCAAATGGGCGTTTCCAACTTTCCACCCAAAGACTTTCTACACATGAAGCTGCAAGATGCCTTGAAATCACTTGCTACTTTTACTGGCTATTGTTTTTACTGGCTGTTCTTTCAAATCTCTCCTTCTCCGTCTTAGGTCCTGATGCTGGTTTCTGCAAGGATTCTTATTGCCGTACCCGCATTTGTCCACCTGCCTTTGGCGGAAATCAATGTGAACATAGTAAGTGCATTGGACGCATTCTGTCGGAAGTTGTTGTTGTTGTTGTTGTTGCTGTTGTTGTTGTTGCTGTTGCTGTTGCTGTTGCTGTTGCTGCTGTCGCTGTCGCTGTCGCTGTCGCTGTCGCTGTCGCTGTCGCTGTCGTTGTCGTTGTCGTTGTCGTTGTTGTTGTTGTTGTTGTTGTTGTTGTTGTTGCTGCTGCTGCTGCAGCTGCAGCTGTTGTTGTTGCTGCTGTTGTTGCTGTTGTTGCTGTTGCTGTTGCTGATGTTGTTGTTGTTGTTGTTGTTGTTGTTGTTGTTGATGTTGTTGTTGCTGCTGCTGCTGCTGCTGCTGCTGTCGTCGTCGTCGTCGCCGCCGCCGCCGCCGCTGTTGTTGCTGCTGCTGCTGCTGTTGTTGCTGCTGCTGCTGCTGCTGCTGCTGTTGTTGTTGCTGCTGCTGTTGTTGTTGTTGTTGCTGTTGTTGCTGCTGTTGTTGCTGTTGTTGCTGCTGCTGCTGTTGCTGCGTTGCTGGCTGTAGTTGTAGTTGTTGTTATCCGTGCTGGGGTAGTTGTTGTTATCCGTGCTGGGGTAGTTGTTGTTATCCGTGCTGGGGTAGTTGTTGCTGGGACCGTGCTGGGGTAGTTGTTGCTGGGACCGTGCTGGGGTAGTTGTTATCCGTGCTGGGGTAGTTGTTGCTGGGACTGTGCTGGGGTAGTTGTTGCTGGGACTGTGCTGGGGTAGTTGTTGCTGGGACTGTGCTGGGGTAGTTGTTGCTGGGACTGTGCTGGGGTAGTTGTTGCTGGGACTGTGCTGGGGTAGTTGTTGCTGGGACCGTGCTGGGGTAGTTGTTGCTGGGACCGTGCTGGGGTAGTTGTTGCTGGGACCGTGCTGGGACCGTGCTGGGGTAGTTGTTGCTGGGACCGTGCTGGGACCGTGCTGGGGTAGTTGTTGCTGGGACCGTGCTGGGGTAGTTGTTGCTGGGACCGTGCTGGGGTAGTTGTTGCTGGGACCGTGCTGGGGTAGTTGTTGTTATCCGTGCTGGGGTAGTTGTTGTTATCCGTGCTGGGGTAGTTGTTGTTATCCGTGCTGGGGTAGTTGTTGTTATCCGTGCTGGGGTAGTTGTTGTTATCCGTGCTGGGGTAGTTGTTGTTATCCGTGCTTGGGTAGTTGTTGTTATCCGTGCTGGGGTAGTTGTTGTTATTCGTGCTGGGGTAGTTGTTGTTATCCGTGCTGGGGTAGATGTTGTTATCCGTGCTGGGGTAGTTGTTGTTATCCGTGCTGGGGTACTTGTTGTTATCCGTGCTGGGGCTATTGTTGTAAGAAAACAGTAATGTAATACTAAGTATGATGTTGAGCCGTAATGAGCGAAAACAGACCCAAAAACCTCCCCCCCCCCCCCCCCCCCGTGCCTGAAAAGAGGAGAAATCGTGCTTTTGTAGTATAACAGGGAATGGTCCCTTCCAAAGAAGAAAGGAGACGGGCTCTAGCTGAGGCCACTCTCTTGTGTGCTGCCATCAGGCGGATTGTCCTTGGGTCTGTGCACTGCTGCACATTATAGGCACTTGTCCTAGGCTGAATAGACTTAGAGCTGGTTGAAAGCGCTTGCGAAGAATTCACTAAACCTAGCACACATGAATAGAACCCACCTGGCTCTATTTTGCTGAGTGGGTGCATTCAAGCTGAGTGGGTGCATTCAAGCTGAGTGGGTGCATTCAAGCTGAGTGGGTGCATTCAAGCTGAGTGGGTGCATTCAAGCTGAGTGGGTGCATTCAAGCTCGTGAATAACAGCCAGCCACAAGAGTCGTGTTGTTTTTTGTGTGGCACGGTGGCCCTGCTGGCATGCACGGGATACTGGGTGACTTGCGAACACCTGATTGGCCGTAGCCCTAGCAACAGTCACCCGACATGTAAGACATTGCATGTACTGCCATGCCAGTGCTCTCACACATGTAACAAAGAAAAAGAGAGTAAGGGGTCGTCCGTATTTTTCGAAAAATTAAAAGATCCGCCCTCAGGCAGAAAAGGGGTGGGTGGTCAAGAGCGCTGGCGGAATTTAATTTTTAGATTTTTCGTACTTTTTTTTCTTCAGCGACTTTCATACACTTGTTGCACTGACATGTAGTGCACTGTAGACGTAGTGTAGGACCGCAAACACCAGTATGATATACCGGTACATGACTCTTCATCTAGTTGTAGGACGTGCATGGCCGTCGGTAGACCTCCTACTCACTTTACTTAGCTACTAGTACCGTAAAGTACCGCCAGAGCGCCCCACCATCTCATCCTTTCGTGGTCGTATTGTGGAGGTGTTCTGCTGTCTGTAGGTCATACGACATGAAACTTGTACACATATTGCACGTTTTGCAGTCAATCCGTACCTTCGAGCGGACACAAGCTCCACACAAAAACCTGCCAAGTGTGACCTTAGTGCACTAAGATTCTCACATCGTACAAACTTCGTTGCACTCTGCCATACGATCTTCCTTCCTCTGGCTGTAAAATCAAGGTGGGGCGCTCTCGCGAGACGGGGCGCTCTGGCGGTACTTTACGGTACTACACTACTTAACATACATGTACATGTAGGTGCAATCAGTGAACATGGGGTCAGGAGTTCTTATTTTCCAGCTGGGCATCGGTAAAAATAAAATAAATTACTGGGAAAAAATGGGGGGGGGGGTGGGCAGGTGGGTCAGAGACAATTTTGCACGAGGACGGATTTTTTAATTTTTCGATAATTACGGACGACCCCTAAAGGAACCGGAATTGCGATCACATCACCTGACGTGTACATGCCGGTAATACTCTCACAAACTGTGCATCTTCAACCTCCTCTCCTGTTGTGCTCTTAAAAGGAAAGGAATGTTCACCATGACTGTGCACAGTGTATAGACAATGGGCCAATCTGACGGTGTTCTTCCCCCTCTGTTGTGTTGTCCACTAGGAATGTGCGAAGGCGAAGCAGTTTACCACAACGGTAGATGCCATTTTTGGGCTCAATCAACTGAAAAACACAAGATCTCTCATGGTAAGTACTTTTCTCATGGTGGGGAGGAATGATGGGGTAATTGTCCTGGAAGGGGAGGAGGGATGGGGTAATTTGCAAAACGAAAATTCGAACGACCTTTGCGTTCTGTACATTTTCGTAGTTTGAACGCGCCAAGTGCACGTACGCCATGACCCCATGTCACGAAACTTCCTACAAAAGTTCAATTCGCGTTCCCTGCAAGTTTCACGTCCAAAGTTGCGAAAGTTCATGTGAAGTTTCACACTTCATGACGTAGAGCGAAAGTTTGTACGCATTTTCGTTTTGCACAGAACCTCTCTAATGTTACTGTTGCGGCTGCTATTTACGCTGCTGCTGCTGCTGCTGGTGCTGCTGCTGCTACTGCTGCTGCTGCTGGTGGTGGTGGTGCTGCTGCTGCTGTTGGCAT